AAAAGTTTGAAAGAGAATTATCTCTCTGTAACCTTGGTCAAGTCTACACTATGAAACTTGTTATTCTTTGTGTCAAAATTCCAACCCCTAAATTAGCTTGGAGATAGTTTGGCCAAGAATAATAAAAAGTTGTTTGCAAAGAAGCTCAAACATATCTTCAAGCTCAATTGATCTCAAATAAGCTCAAGTAATATATGACCCCCTTTTGTGATGTATAGTAACGTATGAACTGACTTGATTACGTTTGAGCATTTATTGAGTTGAATTGAAACATGTTAACGAAATAAGTCGATAAATAAGCTCGTGAAACATGTTAACGAGTTGAATTGAAACATGTTAACGAAATAAGTCGATAAATAAGCTCGTGAAACATGTTAACGAAATAAGTGAATAAACTCGAGTTGAACTTATTTATCAATAATAACGAATTAATATTATAAAAAATTATATAAAACTACCTTTATAAACCTTAATAAATTGAATCTAACCTATCAGCTAAATGAGCTTTAAACAATTTTGAGCAAAATCACTCCAACTGAAACATATATATATCCTTTGATTTTCCTATAGTCAACTTCTAACCAGGTGTATGGTTATAAAGTTCATACCCAACTTCAATTCAACACCCCTTTACCTCTCATCCTCTGCAGANTAAAAAAAAAAACAAAAAAAAAAAAGACTTTCTTCACGGGTTTTCTCAGGCTATTCCAGTTCGAAAGCTCACCACGCAAACCCTTCTCTCCCCTGAAATTTAAGTGAGAGAAAGTACCTACCACCCCTTTGAATTGAATCAAAAAGGGGCAATTCTTGATAATTGTCTGGAAGCTCCCATTTTGCCTTCGGACGCCCGGCACTCACCCGAACAAATTCAACAACTTTGTCAAAAATTCACTTATTTGAGCTGGTTTTTTTAACATATTTGCTCATTTTTGTTACATACTATTGTGGGATTTTTGTAATTTTGTTTGTTCCGTCGGAGATGTCTGTGGAGTCGAGCTCAGGCGATCATGGCGGGCATAATATCAGAGGGGTGCCCACTCATGGCGGAAGATATGTTCAGTACAATGTGTACGGAAATCTATTTGAAGTTTCAAGAAAGTACGTGCCGATTAGGCCCGTGGGGCGTGGGGCTTATGGCATTGTTTGGTAAAGATCGGATCTTTTTTCCCCCCCATTTTGTTTTCTGCGTTTTGTTGAAATTGAGTACAATGGTTTTTTGTTTGCTCGTTTGTTTTCAAGTTGTAAGAATTTGGTTGAGCCAAGGAGTGCTTGCATATGTCTTAGCTTTTAGTTGTTTTCTGACTAGAAGCTGAGTATTACTTTATCTCCTTGTTGTGGCCCTCCATTTTTAAGTTTTTTGCAGACTCTTGCTTGTGTTGATGGATTAAAGATCAAACTTTTGTTCTGTGTGATAGTATGAATAAGTTTCTGGTCTGAAATTTTGGTTATCTTTTTATGTTAGGTATATCCCTGAGATCCTTAATGCTTTTGGCTAATTTGTTGAATAATGGAACAAATTTGTGCTTATTATGGTCTATTGGTTGGAGTNAATTTCATTATAAAAGAACTCCCACCTCTATGAAGTGTCATGAGAGATTTATGTATGTGTATGTGTGTGTAAAAGTGTGTTTTCTCCAATAGTATAGAATGATATGTTGGATTTTTCAATCGAAGTATGATTAGTTAGTAGCTTTCCTGTCAAAAGAAGTTCCTTGTGTGTGTGTGTGTAATTTAATGTAGAGCAAAATACGATTGGACATGTCCTTGGATTTTACTGTTCAAGGACATGAATGGTATTGATTTTGTTTTTTATCTTCTGTTTTTATTTGCTTCAGTGCGGCTGTAAACTCGGAGACCCGTGAAGAAGTCGCGATTAAGAAGATTGGGAATGCCTTTGACAACAGAATTGATGCAAAGAGAACATTGAGGGAAATTAAACTTCTGCGCCACATGGATCATGATAACGTGAGACTAATACCTAATGTAGCTGTTTTGCTGCCTACCATTGGATTTCACATTTCTGTTCTCTTTTATGTATTTTTTTCTTATTATTATTTTTTTTTTTTATTTTGTTTTATTTTATTTCTTCGATTTTCTACTAAACAGGTGATTGCAATTAAAGACATCATTCGGCCTCCTCTTAAAGAAAACTTCAATGATGTCTACATTGTGTATGAACTTATGGACACTGATCTTCATCAGATTATTCAGTCCACACAACCATTGACTGATGACCATTGTCGGGTTTGACCTCGTTTTCTTATATCTATTCAGTTCATAATATTAGATGTCATATTTTTCACATAATGTTTTCTTTCGTCCTCAAAGTCCTTGATTCATTTGTCCTTTTCTTCTCTTTTCTCCTTTACACTCATTCATTTACCTCAGTTCATATATGATTTTGGATTAGTTATAAAATAAATTTGAGTGAAAATCCGATGGACAACTAAAATTGCCCGGTTGTCAAGACACCTTATGAAGGAATGGCAAGCACAAAAAACCGATCATCAAATGAAAAAAAAAAAATGAAATTTTGTATCATGAGTTCCATTTTTGTTCTTCTTTTTCTTCTTCGTTATAAGTAAATGAAAATTTATTTTGTATTACAAATTGACTTCTTCAAGTCTACGACTTATTGTTATGCAGTTTTAATGATATTCAGCTTCTATATTTTGCGCACAGCCCCCATTTGATTTTTTTCCATTTAAACATTTTTGCAGTACTTTCTTTACCAAATCCTTCGAGGGCTCAAATACGTTCATTCGGCCAATGTTTTGCACCGTGACCTCAAACCGAGCAACTTGCTGCTCAATGCTAATTGTGATTTGAAAATCGGGGATTTTGGGCTTGCAAGGACAACATCGGAGACTGATTTTATGACTGAATATGTTGTTACTCGCTGGTATCGAGCACCTGAATTGCTCCTAAATTGTTCTGAATACACTGCTGCTATCGATATATGGTCCGTGGGTTGCATACTTGGTGAAATTATGACAAGGAAACCTCTTTTTCCTGGGAGAGATTATGTTCATCAGTTGAGACTTATAACTGAGGTACTTTTTTTTTTTTTTTTTTTT